TAACAACCAAACATATTTATAGAAAAATCCCGAAGTGAAAATTAAGAGAAATGAAACACTGTAAGATAGACAAGCTTATTACAGGATTATGTTCCGTCATACAAGAAAGAAAAGATGTAAGGTTTTTGAAAGATGACTACAAAGATAGGAAAACCAAATAAGACAAAAACAAGATGGAAAAAGAAATTGAAAAATTTCAACAGCAGCGGGTGGGGGGAGAAGAAAAAGAGTATAGAAATAGGGAAAAGAAGAAAAAAATAAATTTAGGAAGAAAAGAGCATAAAAAAAGAACTAAGGAAAAAAGAAAGAAATATAAGGACAAATCAGAGATAATAAATTTAGAATGGGTAAAGAAAACTTGAATAAAAAGAAATAAAATAAAACATGAATGAAAAAAGAAATGTGAAGAAATAATAAAAAGAAAGAAATCCAAAGAAAATGAAAAAATAAATATAAAAGAAAATACAAAGATGAGAATAAAAAAGGAATGAAAATAAATTTTAAAAAATGTTAGTAGTAAAATAAAGTACAAAAGAAAGAACCCAGAGAGAAAGAAAGGAGAATGAAAAAGGATTAAAAATATATATAAAATACAGAAAAAATTCTGAAAGAAGAAAAATGACAAAATAAAAAGAAATAAAGGGAGAAAGATAAGAAAGAAAAGAAAAAGAAATTAAATTAAGTAATAATAAAAAATGAATAAGATTTCCCCTGATTAAATGAGACAAAATGTTGGATTAGTAAATCTCTTTGAAAAAAACATTTGAATCTTTCACACTCTTTCAATTCAGTACAAACAACAAGAGAAAAAAAAAAGAAACAAAAAAATTAACATTCTTTGCATTCAAAGAAAAAAAAAAAGCAAAATGATGTCATGTAAAAAATTAAAAAAAAAACAAACATGAGAAAATATTTCAAAAGTATAAAGAAAAAACAGAATCCATGAAATCTCGAAATAAAAGCATTTCTTTTGAAAAGAAGTAATTAGAATGAATAATTAGTATCTTTTCAGATTACATACCTCGAGACCGAAAAGAAGATTGGTATATTTTTGTCTACTAATCAGAATGGCACTGAAAATAAACTGAGGTCAGTACTAATTGCCAAAAGAAACAAAATGAAAATGTATACAAATATTTTCTGATAAATTAGGGGAAAAAAGCATTTAGCTCATGTGTGTGATTTACATGTGTCTATTTTGGCATAATAGTGTGTACACATACACACAAACATATATATATATATATATATATATATATAAATACAACAGATATTTTGTGCCGATTAATTTTATTGAGCGACTTTTCCAAATTATAAATAATCTTACTCAGATAAGGAAGAAATGCCATCAGAAATTGTTTAAAATTAATTTCTGAAGAAATATGGTCCAAGTTTTCGACTTTCATAAGAGAATGTGTGTATATATATATATATATATATATATATATATATATATATATATATATATATATATCAAGTATAGGATTGGTGTATATGGAATAAATTCCAATAACCAACAAATACTATTCTTAAAAGAGTGCTCAATACAGAGTAGAGCAAATATAATTATTTATTTGAAAATTATAACATAAATATTTTATAAAATCACTACAAAATAGCCATTTTGTTTCAACACTTCTGGTGTCTTATCAAGTGATAGTAGATTCAACACCATCACTTGATAAGACACAGAAAAACAAAATGGTTATTTTGTAGTGATTTTATAACATATTTATGTTATAATTTAAATCAAATAAATATTATATATATATATATATATATATAATCTGTCATGCCAGTATGTTGAAACCCTTGGTCATACAAACTTGTGACTTCATGCTAGCACAACCATTGATGGCTTCTGAACAATTCTATCTACCCAATTTCACTGAAATTGCTTGGGTCAACTCATGGAGTAATTTTCAGGCACTTTCTCTTATTTCCTGACAAATCAAGCCCGGTAGAATTCAAACCCATTCTCACCACTTGACCACATTCCCTATATATATATATATATACAGGTTGAACATATCAGCCTCGAAAGGATCTTTAAAGGTTTGAAAGTATCATTTGAAAGATTGAAGATAACATCTAGAAATTTAATGATTTTTAGATTAGAGGATAAATCAATCTGAAATCCCAGAAATTAGATAGCTTTTATTATCTAATTATTCTATTATTCATATATATATATATATATATATATATATATATATATATATATATATATATATATATTACCAAATATACACTTTTTCTCTTCAATGGAATTTTATGCACAATGCAATCTTCAGGTGGTGAATTGAGACTGACCGTTACATAATTTATATATATATATATTGTATATATTTATATATATAATATTTGTGTGTGTGTGTATATATATATATATATATATATATATATATATACACACTCAAATAGACATATATATGTATGCATGAAACAATGCATACAAACATATTTGCGTACAAAAAAGAAATAAAATAATGAAAAATAAAAATATCTAGAAAAGAAGAAAAATCAAAGAACATTCTACTTGTAATTATAATCAATTGTCCAGGTGATCCTATATCAAACTCAGAAACTAACAGCACCTAGTAATGTTCATTTGGCTTTCATATCTTCTGGAAAGACATGACTAAAATAAAAACATTTTGAGAACTGAAATTGAAATATTACGTCTAGGATATATAGGGAAGTATAATCAAACATTACCATTTTTGTTTTTAGCTATTCTGTATCAGTTTTAAGATGAAGAAAGGATTAGATTTTTGCCTTTCCAAAATGGGAAATTAAAAATCAAAATATGAATAAGAATGTTCATTATTTTTCTGGGTTTCCACATAATGCTTTATTTTTTTATATTTGATAAGAAAAATAATATTGTGTTTCTGTCAATAGGAGTATCTTAAAACCATACTGATTTTAATAAATATGATATGAAGATATTAATAAAAGAAGAAAGAGAAAGAAAATGTCAGTAAAGCTTCAACAGTAGCAGCAGCAGTAGAAAAAAGAAATTTCTGTGAATGAAGCTAAGCATGACAAGCACAGTCTCATCAGCTGGCAGATTAGATTTAAGGCTCCAAATTCTACACCCAGGATTGTCTCACATGACAATAGCCTAGTGGATTAAATCATTGGTTCATGAATTTGGTGACATAATAATTGTGTGTTCAATCCCAGGGCTGGCAGTATAGACTTGAACTGAGCAAAACGAAGAGATTTTCCAAGATATAGTTAACAGGATGAGATTAATTAAAGTTTGAAATTCCTTGAAGGTTACCTGGCACCTGATGAAGGCTGGAAGGCACAACAGTTGAAACACTGTGATAGCAACAAGGATGATAGCACAGATTTGAATATATTTTTGGAAAGGATATTTTATCCGACATTATATCTTATTACTATAAAGTTTTAGTGGTTACACGTATCCGAGTTGTTATCCCTGTTTTGCTAATTTATTAAACAGTGAAATTAATAACCTATGACCCTGCTATTTACCCTGAGCTCCTTGAAAAAATCCAAAGAAGAATCAGCAATATTATCAGTCCTGATCTGGCAGCTCAGCTTCAGTCACTTTCCCACTGCGATTGTCTCTCTGTGCCTTTTCTATAAATACTTTCATGGTAATTGTTTGGATGGCCTCTTCACTAAGGTAAATTGTTATTTTATCCCCACCTTGCTACAGACAATGAATTGTACATATGGGGACCAGTTAGGACTTTCATAGAGACGATGAGGTATTATGGTGGATGTAGTAAGAAAGGTAAGTAAAAATGCGTTGTTTTGGTGTAAGGAATATTATTGTATGTTTGGGTCAGTTTTTGTGGCTAGCTAAGTTTAAAGTTAAGACAGATGAAAACAACCCTTTCCCCATTCTCCATTTTTGCCACATTTTCTGTAAATAAGCGGAAATAGATATCACTCTTCACTTTGATATCGGGACTTTTTGAATTTAAGCACAGTACAAGACTGGCATTTTGATCTCATCAATTTACTGTTGAGCTAGCTCGATGTAGCCATAAATTCTATGCTAACAAATTCTTTTCTCGCACTTCTCACTTGTGGAACACCCTTCCAGCTCCCATGCTTTCCAGCTAACTTTAATCTACAAAAATTTAAATGCAATGTCATCTGCTTTCTACTGTTCTCCTGATTGCTCTTTTCTCTTCCCACTCATTATTAATGTTTCTGTTCCTAATTCTTCCCAGTAACCCCTCGTGACTTAGTGGCTTTACTGCTTTGTTTGGGGTGAAATCAATTAAAAACAAAAAAATAAATAAAAAAAACATCTGGCTTAAATTGTGTCAGAGGCACAATTTTTTTTTTTTTTTGTGGGACTTCTCAATTTAGGTCAGTTGTTATGAATTTCACTGTTAAATAAAAATAAAAAAAACAAACAAGGATAGCAGCTCAAACACATAAACCCTCCAAAAATAATATTTATAGTAAGAAATAGTTCTGTAAAATATGGAGACATTGAAATGATTGTCAGACTCATTCTTTTGAAATGATTAACACAGTTACCTGCCACCATGTTATCCATTAAATGCTAGACAAAAACTGTATTTTCATGTAAGAATAATTTAAGTCTTTGAAGGATCAAAGTTTCTGGATACAAAAACAAAAGAACAATAGAGAAGGCCCTTTTGAGTGGGGGCAAAGACTTGGCTGCTTTAAGCATAGTGGTTTATTCATTCCTTTAAGTAGACACATTTTATTTGATGGAAAGAGTAAAGAAAGGACTATTGACAACTCTGAAAAGCTTCAAATATCCTGGCAAATAAAATCATCTCACTATAATAACAATACAGATAAATATCTTTTAAAAGTGTCATGACAGAGATTACAAAACAAAACAGTGGAACTTGATTCAATTGTTTTACTCACCCGAGGACGTTCTGGTCGATGACAGTTGAAAGCGGAAAGTTACGAGGGTAGATCTGACTGAGTGATTTCAAGGATTCAAAAGCAGGCTTCCAGAATCTTCCGATCTGCCAAGGAGGATAAAACAGGAATTGAAAAGAAGTGTCAATGGGATCAAAAGTTATATATGAAATGAATAAATGTTGAATGGACAATGAAGATCAAATCCAGGAATCACAAGTTTGGCTCAATAAGGCAAGCATCAATATGAAATGCTATTTTGTATTGTTCCTTATTTCTTTAATGCTTTATTATTATATATCTCATAACTATAAAAATCCAGTAATTCCTGTTAAATGATACAGTCACATAGCCGAGTGGTTAGAATATTCACATTCTAACCATGAGACCCGGGTTCAAATCTCACCATGGTCGATTTGTCAGGAAGGAGACTTACTGATGTTATCATACTGGAGAGGTATATCCCAGTGTGTGGCAGCTTTGGAAAGTGCCTGTAAACCATACCGAGCCTTGTGATTGAAATTGGGTAAATGGAACCACTTGAGGGCCATTGATAGCTGTGCTGGCATGAAGTCACAAGTCATCATGGCTGAGGGCTTGAGCGTGCTGGCTTTGTTCAAACTGTTGATCATGTTAGATAGCACGCTCTTTCCTAGAAACTGTAACTAAGGTCTGCTCAGCATAGTTGCAGTATAAACCAGAGGTGGGCTCTGTGGGTGTTGAATAAACACAAATGTGCCTGAGCAAGCATTGGCAATAGGGATTGGCTAGCCGCCCTTGTAGACAGGTATCCTCGAATACAAGTAGTGGCCAGCTATACTATATATATGTGTGTGTGTGTGTGTGTGTGTGTGTGTGTGTGTGTGTATATATATATATGTGTGTGTGTGTATTATGAAATGAACTAAGTCCAACAATTATTTTAATATATTTTTTGTTTATATGTTATTTTTATAGATACAAATATTTAAGTAAATACTCTGTTTATAATAAAGAGTATTAACAACATTTACTGGCCTGAATGTCTGAGAAATCTCAAAGCAAATCTGTGTTCTTCAACAGGAATCAAACCTGTATCGTACATGTAACCATCATATAACCTGATGTGCTACACTATTTAGCTACAGAGGAAGCATCTGGTTAGTAAGTAAAACAGTAATTTAACCTTGCTAAACAGACACTTCCTCTGTAGCTAAATGTTATAGATATAGAAGTTACACAGCTGGTTTTTTTTTAATTCTATCTTTTTCACATTTGATGGAACCAATTTCAAGTCACTGAAGGTGACATCATATAAACAGTCAAATTGAAATTTTGATGTTTTTATTTTGTTATTTTTATATTAACCACACTTCAGTATACATTCTCCTATGTAGAAAGGTACCTTATTTAATGTTGCCTACTTCTCTTTTATTACAACAGCCTCCAGAATTTTAAGTCTTTCTTTGCACTGTGTCCTATATATATATATATATATATATATATATATATATATATATATAATTTTAATTAGTATCACCCCATGCAGGGCAGTAATGCCATTAAAACACAAGGGGTTACAAGATGTGGAAGAATTAGGAACTGAAACATTAATGATGAGCAGAAAAAGAAGAGAGTAATCAGGAGGACAGGAGATAGTGATTGACATTGCATTGAAATTTTTGCAGATTAAAGTTGGCTAGAAAGCATGGAGACAGATCAGCAACTTCTTTTTAATGGTTACCTTTATTGACAGGTCTGCAATTTCTTTTCGGGAGTAACCTTTAATGACTGGTCAGCAACTTCTTTTGAGGGACAACTTTAGTGACTGATTAGCAATTTCTTTTGGGAGAGGGTGTCACTTTTATTGACTGGTCAGTAATTTTTTAATATCTGCCTACAACAATTTTTTTTCTCTAACAGATTTTTTTATTTTTTTTTTAATCTTTAATCCTTACATCTAACTTAAAATTATATTAAGAAAAGCCAATTCCTCCTCTCTCTCTTGTACAACCTCCAGTCTTTTCATCTTTCCTTCTTCAGACTCTAAGTAATTAACATCACTTATCATGAACACTAAATAAATGAATAAATATGAGAAGAAAAGATAACTGTGTATTTGATATAAACTGCATTTTCCGTTAAAGAATTGTTTCGTGGAAGAAGAGTAGAGAATAATTCCTTCTTTCAATCAGACATTTTTGTTTTCCCTTCTTTATTCTCTCCAGCCTCATTTTCATATTTTTTTCCCTTCCCAAACTTTCTGCAGTTGAAATAGCAGTGCATCTTTGATTCACGAAAATAAGGCATGTCACAGACTTTTAGATCTTCGGAATGTTTAAAAAAGTCTAAAACATGGCACACTTTTTTGCTTTCTTGGTCATCTCTAAACTGAATCATCCAGAAGTTAATTACAGTTATTACAATAAAAAAAAATCTAATGATTTATTTCATTAAATTCTCAAAGTTCAAAGAATAGGTTAAATTAAAGGTTAAATTTCATATTCATACGACATTTCCCCAGTTTATTATTAAGAAGGTTACTTCCTTATCCAAGGGTTCCAAGTACATTTTACAATTGATATCTGTTGTTTTAAGATTAACCCTGATAAAAATTTACCAGGCCTAGCTGCTCAGGTGACTGATATAGCTAATGTGAAGCTTCCAGCAAGCAATAAGAAAAAGATGTTTTAACTAATAAAATAGGAAGAATAGGCCAACTGCCTGGTCAGACTTGATGCAAAGAAAATCCATTCTCCATATTCTTGGGGACTGGTAGTCGATACAAAATGGCTCATACATAGTACTTTTGTATGTTAATATATATACAAATATTAACCTATTGGTAGTATTGCATTTTCTTATTTTATACATATTTTGTGAAGGTAATAAATTCATATTATTTTCTACAATGGATATGTTAGGAAAGAGAGAATATTTCCAGTTCACATTCCTCCATTATAGGCGTTAGTATATCCATGATACACTAACACCTTAATATATCAGACAGAATAGAACTACTAAAAGGAATAATAAACATACATTGTTCTCAAAGAGATTTTATACACCATTATATACATGTCACTAATTTGTCCCACATAAATAAATTATAACATATGTATACAACAAGCAGTGCGAGAGAGAGTCTTACTTGTAATATTTCCCAATGGGGAAATGGGCAGGCTGGTGGTGACATCTATGTGCAAAGTGAGTATGTGGATTTCCCTGTATGCCATACCAGTGTGGGTTTTTGATGTCTGTCTTCTCAATAGCATCTATGTCATGATGTCACTTACCAGAAGTTACGTGACACTCATAACTTTGTCTCAACCAACCTTCGCATCCCTACAGTACTTCCTTCCCTAAACAGTTTTAGAACCTGTCACACAGAGTGACTTTTATTCTGCTTGTTGTGATAAAGAGAAATGGAAAGGTGGGCACATAATTTGTGAAACTACAATGTAGAAAAGGAATATGCATGCAAATAGTGTACATTAAGGAGTTCATATGAAAAAATGTCCCACAAATTGAAAAAATGAGTCAAGATAAGAAATGCCTGGGCCATCTAATATGATACCCATACGTGGTCACTGTTTGTTATGGTAAAATTTGTGCTACAAGGAATGGTGTTGTGATTTCTGTTTTCTTCACAGCCTACATCGCAACCGGCTTTTTTTCACTCTATGACTTGATGCCATTCAATGGCTGTTACCTGACCCTCATGACTTCATCTCAACCAAAGGGAGATAATTGCCATTTGCATCCTTACACCTATTTTACTAGTAACTCTTCATAATATTATTCTATTATTATTTTAATGAGTAGGGCATAAAATTATGATGTCATTATTTTAATAGAAGTAGTAACATTGTTCTATCCTTATTTTAATGGGGGTAACATTATTCTGTAATCATTTTAATAGGGGTGGTAACCATTATTCTATCATTATTTTAACAAGGTGGCAAAATTTCCATAAACAGCTAAGAAAAATTTTAATCTGAAAATGATATTTTATGATTTAATTTGAAAATTAATGGCAGTAATGATTTTCGACAAATGATACAGCTCAGCTCAGTAGAATTGTCATAGATTAAAACCAAGAAATCAAATTTAACCTTCTGTTGTGCTTTCAGTTCCAGCAAAAAAAAAGGACATCTATGTTGCATTTGGTGGTTCTGATATTTGACTATGAAAAGCAACATTTTATTAGAGCTTAAAAATGTCCATCTCACATTATATCATTTCAAAAAAAAATATACAATGTTTGGTTGAAAAAAAATTAATGGGCTTAACTAGTCAGGTGACTCACAATAGCCAATCAAAAGTCTCCAGCTATCAACAGGTGATGTTCATTTTTGACTGAGAAAAAAGAAAAAAGACAATCAACAGTCTTATTAGTTTTAAGGGAGGTTTGTTCCCCTATATTCTTAGGTATTAGTAGTCAACATACAGTAGATTATAAGTAGTATATTCAGATGTTGATATGTACATAACCTGTTGGTGGTATTTCATTTTCTTATTTTGTATATATGTTTTGTGGAGGTAATAAATTTGTATTCATCTCCATTTTATTAGCAATGCTTCATAAAACTATTTATTCATTATTTTAATGAGACTCATATCTTTAATGTCAAACACCAATTATATTCATTTAATCTTTCAACTTTAATAATGCAAATATTATTTTTCGACTGATTACAATGGAAAACTTACTTCCATTATTTGTGTTGCTTTTAAAACCAGACTTCATACACTGGAGAATTACAATTAATAAAATACCAGACAATAAAAAAAAAATAATAATAATTGTATAGGAATGAATGTGCATAAATTCAAAATGAACTGAGGTCAGATATAAAGATATACTGAACTATAAAAACCAATTCCATCTTATCACTGAACAATATTTTATTCTTTTTAACAATTGAGTCTTTAATTTATTTTCAAATGTTAAAATTCTCAAAGAAAAGAAGTCTAAGATTATCATCAGGAGAAAAATATTAACAAAAAAATCAATAATAACCCATTTCTTTATGTGAACCCTACCTGGAAAATGATTTGTTAAAAAAAATAAAAGTTATGGTTAAAATTAATGAAGTATCGAAAGATATAAATAAAACAAGATGGC